GGGGGGCATGACCTAAAAAGAATCTGGGGGATTTCAGGGGGGCATGCCCCCCTGTATTTCACCATGATTTGATATTTTGGAAATTAGGATTGATATTTACTTGAAGACAATTGAATTGCAAGGGTTTTAGTGGCCATACGTGGGTTCTGAAGTAAAAAGTATGGCAGTTTAGACCCCAAATCAGTGCATCTGGGCGTGAGTGCAAAAGTAAAAATTTAGCAATCCTTTTCCTACAACAGGATTTGGTGGTAAAAGTGCATTTTAGGGGCGCATAAATAAAAATTATTAGACTCAATGTATAACAATAACACGTTATTACCTGCGCTTGTAGCACATTAACAGGGAATAATTGTCAGCTCGTCCTCAGCATGACAAGAAACATGTCCTTGACACCAAACCTGTTGCAAAAACTACAAACACATTCATGGAGATAGGGGGCGAAGAGATCGTGCGATGTGCCAAACCGTCTGCACAATTTCGTTTAGCGCACATCCACATGTAATCGACATGTTCAGTGTGAATAGTGAATGTCTGGATCGTCAGGGTCCACAAAGTGATGCTGATGAACAACAACTCGGTAATTTACTCACACCAATATTTTGAAGTGTCTATCTATCCAATTAAAAAGTGTTTTTGTTTACATTGGGCGGGTCTAACAAGGTATTACAAACGCAAGTAATAACGTGTTGCTGTTGTACACATTGAGTCTATAATTACAGTCTACTAATAATTTAGGCACCTAAAATGTACTTTGGATAACATGATAAAGCAATAGCGAGCACCTAGCACACCTCTGTGATTCGCCCAAATATAGATGACGGAATTCCGCAATCTATTTTTGTCGTCTTCCGCGGCTTCCCTCGTCAGTTGACCAAAGACTGTGTAGTCTGTAGTAAAGAATCTTTGAGTTGACTAGACCTGAGACCTCACCGTTGCGGGCCCACTTCGCTGCTTAGTGTAAGCTCTGCTTAACGCGAGATGGGCTCGGCTATGTCACAAGGTTTCATTGCCGGCTGCTTGTGTGTGTGTGTGTCCGCGCGCATATGTGTGTGCGTGTATGTGTGTGTGCATACGCAATAGAGTGTGTGTGTGTGTGTGTGTGTGTGTGTGTGTGTGTGTGTGTGTGTGTGCGTGCGTACAACTTTGAGAAGAAGGTAAATTTATGGAACGAGAATTGCAGAAATTGTATATAAAAGATACACAAATTAATAAAACAAAAAAACAAACACGGCAAGATCGAACAGTCTTGGGGGAAGCCCTGGAAGACGACAAAAATAGATGGCAGAAATGTCATATATTGGGCCCCATTAGAGGTGTGCTAGGTGCTCGCTGTGTTAGCTTCATCTTTGGATTTGGCTATAACAGGGGTATCACATCCATCCTGGTGGTCCTTACACTTTAGGAGGCCTATTTTTATCATTTAGATCTAGTTTATAGTATAGCCAGGGACCACTGAAACAATACTAAAATTAAGCCTAATAATAATATATATTATTATAATTATATTAAATAAATTTCCACTCACCTTGCACAAATATTCATCTCCTGTGCTTTGGTCAATTGCTGTACAGCTTTCACATGAAGGACTGGGTTGATGGATGACATATTTGCCAATTTGTAGAAACCGCTCTTGACTAGTGGCAGTTTCTTCTTCCGGCAAACAAAACGATGGAGGTGAACATGGTTGTAAATCTGGTGATAACGTTCCTAAGTTTGGTGGTGGCTCATATTCCACTTTCTTTTGGGGCCCATGACTTATGTTTAGTCGTGGCCTTGGGTGCTGCCGGTTCATAGAACCGAATAGGAATGACGAAAGTAAAAAAAGTAGCAAAAGATTTACAGGGTTATAATGAAGTGGAACAGTAGTGTAAGCCACTGATGTTGAGATCTCTTTACAGTAACAATTCAATAATACTTTACAACTTTACAGAAAAATTGCAAAAAATAGCACCAATTTATTGCTGATGTGTTAGAGAACTGCTGCCTTTTTTTTTAATTGGAAGTCCTTCTCTTCACATCAAATGGCCAATGCTACAATTGACCACTACTACGAGTAGGGCAAGGTGTAGGAGGTAGAGGAGGAGGTACTTTGGCCATGTTGCTGTTAAGTTCAAATCAGATCAAATATTTACAAGTGTTCATCACAAGACTTCGACACAGTGTAATGAGCAGCACGGTGATTGCATCTGGACCCCGACATCTTGTAATTATACGTATTGGAATTGAGTTTTGGTGGCGCAATATCACAGATAAACAAAAGTATCACAGACAGGAAGTAAGATCAAGACTCGTCCGAATATTTCGAAGAACTTTCAGGCTTGATGATTAGAGTTCACAGACACCACTGAAAAAGCACCAAGGTCCTTAATGTTTTTAAATGACACAACACAAAAGTTCGATATTCTCGCCATTATGAACAATTGATTTCTAGAGGTTTAAGTAGTCACGAGCTCACACCACCATAAATCCAAAGCAGGTGTGCCGAGAGCGGGGAAACCACAAACAGCTGAGAGAAGTTGGTAGAAATTCACAGAAATGGCACTGGAATCCCTTGATTAAACTCTCTTGACACCTGAAGGAACTACGGAAGGCACTAGCAGCCCCTAAACAAAGCACTGAATTAAATGGCACATTTTTTGGTTCTTTCACAAAATGATGAAATAGGTTCACAAAATGTCAGTCAAGCTTATTCGGCGGCTACTTCAAAGGGAGAGTATGAATGATGAGTCACTTCTCCGTCGAGTCTTTATATTGCGTCGATAACGGGTAAAACTTTGTTGGGGTAGTGAGACCCCAACAATCAAATTATCACTTTTTAAAGGAGGTATACTCTATCGTGATAAATCCAGCTCTGTTTGGATCTTGTTTTAAACCTTGGAAGGGTTGCCTCTGAAGACCCCTCCGAGTTTTAAAACATCACAAGTAGAGAATCAACCGTCGACGCCATTGTAGAATCATTCAGTGACGGTGACACGATTAGAACGCCTCATAACTCCATGGAGGAAATGGCCTCCCGTTATATTCATGCGCTTGAGAATTGAGGGGGAGGGGTTACAATTCTAATACAACGGAACCACATTAAAATCTTCAAATTGTATTCTAATATTTTACTAAACTACCATTTCAATATATAAAAAGGTATAGAGGAGTCTAGATTATTTGAACATATTGAGAACTATATTCTGAAGAAAGGATTTCCTTTAGCTATTTTTAGACGATTACCACGCTGTTTCTAATCACGTGGTATTTGACGTCAGGGAATCCCCAACATATTTATTCCATATAAGGAACTTCTAAAAATATCAACGTCATGCTGACGTAGCAGTGGTAAATAAGTACGATTGCAAGGTTGACTGAATAATTCCAGAACAAATGGAATCGCTAGATCTAGATTTAGAATCTAGGCCTTACTAGATATTTTTTAACAATAAAAAATTAACATTTCCTTTGTTCTTGAGTTAATCTACTTGTCGTGATATGCTGAAACATATTGTTTCATGTTGAAAAAAAAAACGTGCGTGACATAATATCAGTTTATGAATTACAAAACTGTTACAGAAAACGATGGAAACGCCAATTACTGCAAGTGACATATATACAT